GGTTAAGTTTAAATAGAAATGTAACTGCCATGTTTATGAATGACCTCTACGTGACCTGGACAGGTCATTGACAGTCTGTGCCAATATTGTTCGATATCCGAAGTGCATTGACGTCTGTGAGTCAGGTAATAATCAAACACAAAGAAGGGTGGGTCAAATTTTATAATCTCTTCTCACTTCCACTTCCTTGAAAATAAAATACTTGAAGAATTTTTAGATGACAGATAACAAGCCTAACAATACAATAAGATTTTGTAAAAACAACATTACTCCTTTTAAATAAATAAATGGAACGTCCCTACAGTGTAATCCACATCACATGACATCTCCCTTATATATATGCGCATTCATAGAAATTGAGTTCAATGTCCTAATTTTGAACAGAATTTAAGAATTGAACCTGCTCACTTGCCATGAATTGTGACTGTCAATGAATTTGGTGACTGTTGTTAAATAGAAATAACTATGAATTGAAACGAGACAAGGCGGTTAAAGAACTGTTATACGATGAACTGCAAGGTGACCTCTAAATAGCATAATTATTTTAAAACCATCTTGTCGTTAGACAAGTTATGTTAAATAAATTTTAAAATACAAACTACAAACTGAACATTACAGACATATGTTGGACAGTGTCAGAAGCAAATGACCTTTTGACCTTAACTCAAGTCAAACAACACATTTTACCTGCAATTCAGAAATAATTTCCATTTTTCAATGAATATTAACGTCACCGAAGCATTCCTACCTATGTCTACTTGCCTTCTGTTACCATGTCGATGATATAATGTGAAAATTGTTCAGCCCAAGGGCCACTTGTAGCGGGAAACATTACGTCCACCTCCCGCTCCCTACACCAGCTGGAATAGCACTGTCTAGACTGTGCTGACAATTAGACTCCCTAACTGCAAGCAGAATTTCATGTTTTAACAAACACAGTGCTAGGGGTTCCTTACAAAATATTCAAGGTGTGCTTAACCTGTGTGAAACAAGAATGGTAAATTATTGTTTTTACATTAAAAGAAAACACTTCAAAGTGTTAAATAAAATAAATAAAACATTCACTTGAAGAATAAATAAATGAAAATTAATTTCTTTTTAAATAGATTAATGTTTACCCATAATTCCTTTCGTTAGTACCGGATATTAATCATGGTGTTTCAAAAGAAAAAAAAAATATTGAGATTATAAAGTAAAAATAAAATAAGTCAGTCTAGCAAAGTATTTTAACTACATATGCAAGACATCAATGAAATGGAGTTATGGACATAATGTCTGATTCAACCCAGGATACTTGATATTTTTTATTAAGATAGACTGTCTAGCCAAGACAGACGTGAAAAGAATTGCTAAATCGGATCTTAGAATACATCCTTAATTCCATATGAAAACAACCTGAGATCGTGTCTGTCTGGAGGAGGCCATATTACATACCATCTATCGTTTAGTTTTATAAATAGTTATATCAAACAATCAAATACAGGATAGATAAATTAAGTAGTATTTTATCATATCGTTTATTATAAACTATAAATGTTTTGTGGCGTATTGAATAATATTAAGTTGAATTAGTGTTAGGGTTTTTATTAAAAAACAAATTTGATAAAACTTATCACAGCATGTAAACTAAAAGTACCATTTCCTATTTATTGGGGGACATGGCCAATAATGAAAGTTGTTTTGAATATTGAATATAATGAAAAAAATTTGTGGTGATGTACTTTATCCTTTAATATTTACAGTACATTTTGAAAATGGACCCTCCCCCCACCTCCCAAATAATGCCTCTTTTCAACTGCAGTGAACCAGAAATATATCATTTATATTTTGAGAGATTTCAAGAGAAGTAATAAGCCTGTGATAAAACAATTTACAGCTTATCTTTCTTTATTTCCAATAATTTAAAGTTAATAAATAAATTCAAAATGCAACTTGATAACTTTAATATAATTTTCATATTTGACATAAGCATTAAAGTTGCATCATCTACTATTTAGTTGAAGTTGTTTTTTTTCGTATGCAGTGAATTTAGTTGTGATCTTAAAGAAAGTTTTACATTAAAAAATATGAAGTGACTACTGGTTATCGATATCAACATTAATAGATGCAAAAAATTACTGTCTTCGAATATATTTGTCTTCATTTTTCAGTAGTAATTATTAATAAATTACTGATATTTGTCATTGAAAAGTCATTTTTTTCTTTTTAATGTCAATTGTCAGGGCAGTGACATGTCACAGAATGTTGCTAAGACCATTCATTTCAAATAGCAATAAAACAATAGAATCAGTTGATTGAAATTCTGTAAATGTTAAATATATTGTCTGATATGGTGTATTCCACAAGGAACATACTTTTTGAATGATGTCATTAATTATGTAAATTGTATGCAAATGCACTAATTATATCATCAAAAGGACATTTTTTGGGAGAATAAATTGAAATTGTTTTTTCTTGTGGTCTAAAATGGTCAAAGAATTTGTTACTTTCATTTTTATCTATCATGAAAAGATTTTTTTTTTAATTTTTACAAAAAAACAAACAATTTACATGTTTTTTACTGCCTGACTGTAAGTGTAACACATTCATTTCAATAGCATTATCTAGTGGATTTGCTGGTGATATTTTCAACGCATTCCAGAAATACATGGATTCCTCACCAACCGCCAGCATAATATATTTATAAGTGATTTTAAACAATATGTCTGAGTGCCACTGTCACACAATTTATAAATAATTTAATTCATAGACAGGTTTTGCCCCACCTACAATTATGAGTATGTTATGAGGTACAAGGTTTACTTTACCATGTAATTGGGTTTATTTATGTCAATTACGAATATGAATCAATTCAACCTCTGAATTTGTCATACTGAAATATAAACATAACTTCCATCATTATTGTAGATTGTTCTAAATATTGAATATTGAAATGTGGATGCTATTTGTCAGTTAGCTATGGTACTATCCTATGTTGTATAGATGTCAGTTGGGTGATTTGATATCATTCTAAATCGTGATCACTTACAACATCCGCTAGGAAGGTATATATAACTGTCTTTTGTTCTCATGCTTGATTCATTTTGATTCACCATGTGTGTCCAACCATTTGTCATGCTACCTGGTTCAGCAGTTGTCACTATGTGTGTCCAACCATTTGTCATACTGCCTGGTTCAACAGTTGTCACTATGTGTGTCACACCATTTGTCATACTGCCTGGTTCAACAGTTGTCACCATGTGTGTCACACCATTTGTCATACTGCCTGGTTCAACAGTTGTCACTATGTGTGTCACACCATTTGTCATACTGCCTGGTTCAACAGTTGTCACTATGTGTGTCACACCATTTGTCATACTGCCTGGTTCAACAGTTGTCACTATGTGTGTTACACAATTTGTCATACTGCCTGGTTCAACAGTTGTCACTATGTGTGTCACACCATTTGTCATACTGCCTGGTTCAACAGTTGTCACTATGTGTGTCCAACTATTTGTCATACAGCCTGGTTCAACAGTTGTCACTATGTGTGTCACACCATTTGTCATACTGCCTGGTTCAACAGTTGTCACTATGTGTGTCACACCATGTGTCATACTGCCTGGTTCAACAGTTGTCACTGTGTGTCCAACCATTTGTCACACTGCCTGGTTCAATAGTTGTTGCTGTGTGTGTCACACCATTTGTCATACTGCCTGGTTCAACAGTTGTCACTATGTGTGTCACACCATTTGTCATACAGCCTGGTTCAACAGTTGTCACTATATGTGTCACATCATTTGTCATACTGATTGGTTCAACAGTTGTCACTATGTGTGTCCAACCATTTGTCACTCCATTTGGTTCAACGGTTGTCACCATATGTGTCCAGCCATTTGTCACTCCATTTGGTTCAACAGTTGTCACTGTACTTGTCCAGCTATTTGTCATTCCATTTGGTTCAACAGTTGTCACCGTACTTGTCCTGCCATTTGTCACTCCATTTGGTTCAACAGTTGTCACCATACTCGTCCAGCCATTTGTCACTCCATTTGGTTCAACAGTTGTCACCACGTGTGTCCAGCCATTTGTCACGCTGCCTGGTTCAACATTTGTCACCACATGTGTCATGCCATTTGTCACTCCATTTGGTTCAACAGTTGTCACCGTACTTGTCCTGCCATTTGTCACTCCATTTGGTTCAACAGTTGTCACCATACTCGTCCAGCCATTTGTCACTCCATTTGGTTCAACAGTTGTCACCACGTGTGTCCAGCCATTTGTCACGCTGCCTGGTTCAACATTTGTCATCACATGTGTCATGCCATTTGTCACTCCATTTGGTTCAACAGTTGTCACCACGTGTGTCCAGCCATTTGTCACTCCATTTGGTTCAACAGTTGTCACCGTACGTGTCCAGCCATTTGTCAATCCATTTGGTTCAACAGTTGTCACCACGTGTCAAGCCATTTGTCACTCCATTTGGTTCAACATTTGTCACTATGTGTGTCCAACAATTTGTCACACTACCTGGTTCAACAGTTGTCACCATATGTGTCAAGCCATTTGTCACTCCATTTGGTTCAACAGTTGTCACCGTACACGTCCAGCCATTTGTCACTCCATTTTGTTCAATAGTTGTCACCATCCGTGTCCAGCCATTTGTCACTCCATTTGATTCAACAGTTGTCACTGTACATGTCTAGCCATTTGGCACTCCATTTTGTTCAACAGTTGTCACCATCCGTGTCCAGACATTTGTCACTCCATTTGGTTCAACAGTTGTCACCATCCGTGTTCACCCATTTGTCACTCAATCGGGTTCATCAGTCGTCACCGAGTGTGTTCACCCATTTGTCAATCTATCAGGTTAAACAGTTGCCATCCTACCCCTGAGCAAGTAGCAAGTTGTATAGTTTTATAGTTTTTACTTTTTTTAGTATAGGATTTTTCTTGGGAAGAAATTTACAGTGTTTTCTATTCAGCGTACCTTTCAGGATGTCTGTTCTGGCTGTTGAGCTTTCCCCACCCCTGGGAAAGTTAGCAAGTTGTACAGTTATCTCCCAATGGTATAGCTCTCAACTATACAACCTACTACCTCACCCAGAGAGTAGGCAACAACATGGTTGCCATCATGTTAACTTCATCTCTGGGGGTAGACAACAAAGTGGTTGCCATCATTTCAACTTCATCTCTGAGGTAAACAAAGTGGTTGCCATCATGTTAACTTCATCTCTGGGGGTAGACAACAAAGTGGTTGCCATCATGTTAACTTCATCTCTGGGGTAGACAACAAAGTGGTTGCTATCACACCAATTTCGTCTTTGGTTTCATTTCTCTAGCACACTAGTCATAAAACTTACATAGCATGAACTTTTTGTTTTGAAAAATGATTTACAGTTTTTAGAATTATTTACATGTGAATCAGTGATTACAAAAAATCATTACATGACATACATGTTGCTAAAAAAATTTTGTCAAAACACAACAACTTGCGATGTTTAATGCCCAACCAAAAAATGATTATGAATAATCCTGGGCTAGAGCCTGAAAACAGATTTGCAAATTGGTTCCACAGACACGTAAAAAACATTCCACCTGTCTACATAAAAAGCTTGTTTTAGTTTTTAAAAATATGATTGGTTTAGAGCACTAGGTGTAAGGATAGTGTAGCAGGTGAACTTCTGTCCAAAAATCATGGCTGATCTCAGATATGTACATTATTGATGGAGTATTGCATGATCAAACAAACTTCAAGTTTACACACATTTCATAGCAGAGATTTTTGTCTGAAAACATAACTGAATAATGAACAATATTGTTACTTGGAAAAGTGAGTTATGTCTGTATGTATGTTGATATTATTAGATAATTGTTTGCAAGATGTTTTGATTCTTCCATTGTGTCTAACACAGTGTATTATTAATTAAACAGTGTTTAATTATCATTAAAGCCTTAATTAGAATCAAAATATTAAGTGAACAATTAACAGACCAAATTTTAGATTACAAAAATCTGCTAATGAGTTTTTACGACACTTATCTTTTTTTTACTCAATTGCGTATGATACAGTTCAATTCCTTTTCATTCTCTTAATTCCATGTTTCCATGGCAACCAACCGATGATGACTATACAACTATTATTGTAAAAGTAATTTCCAAAAAAATTTGGGGTACTCATGGATTTCAACAAGATCATAAAACCTGTGTTCATAATGTAACAAAGCACTATGTTGATAAACTAAAATCATTTCTTACAAGAAAACATGTCTGAACTAAATGTAAATGGTACAATTTGCAAATATAAGCAAAGATGGGTTGAAATTTTAAATGTATTGTGCAACCATTTTATGTACTGGTAGATTAACATACAAGATTGAATTCAACACGAAATGAAGTCAACCGGTTTTCACTGGGCATTATTGTGTTGTTTTATTGCCATTCATATTTCTCGCAGTTATCAATAGAGGGCGCTATACTCCCACTAGGTTTTATAGAGGTTCATAGCCAGCATCAATAAAATGTCAATTTCAGTATGCCTATTGTATAATAACTTTTAATCCAAACAACCCTAAATACTGATCATAACTGATCACAACCATAACATAGCCATGAAAGAGGGGCTAATTTCAAAGAAAGTTGAAAGTTAATCATAACAATTCAACCAATTTCCCAACATTTTCTGGGAGGGCGCTCTCAGTTATGAAGAAGATCCAATAGAAGATGTTTGTTTTTTTTTCATAAAAAAAATTATACATTTTCTTTTACCTGCACTTTAATTATGAATTTGTCTATAAACCAATATATAACAATTCAGTTTTCCTGATATTTAATTTCTCTATTTTAGCATATTCACTGGGTTTTAAGTTCATAAATTTTCCAGTGAAACAATGAGTTATACAACTGTTATTTGATAAGTTTACATAGATTTAAATTTGTAACAAAACACATTATTTCAGTAGAATAAAATACATATAGTGTATATATATATATATTTATATTGATTATTTCGTCATTTCAGTGCAAAATAACAGTTACTTACTTAAAGCCAACAAGTAAACAAAGGTTTATACCTTGCGGATGTTATCCAATGGCGAAATTTTATTTGTTTGCACCGAACATTGTCTGTGGTGACACTTGCCATAAACTCATATAAGTTTCTCAAAAACTGCTCAAACAAAAACTTAATCAATTTGAATAACTTTTCTGGGAATTTATTTAAAATTAACTGTTTATTTGCCATTTTCCTTGGCATTTCTCTTATTTCTGAATAGGGGATACAACAAGTGGTTATGGGTTTTGTTTACATGTGTGGACACACAGCAATGTTAAACATTACTTAAGGATGTATTTAGATCTATATTTGGATGTGATGGTAAAAGTTGCTCTAATTTATTTGTGGCAAAAATCATCAAAATTGAACAGTAACTAATATGTATCTAATATGTATCTAACTTGGGTAGGTAGACGCATCGTTTCAGGTGGGTAGACGCACGGTTTCAGGTGGGTAGACGCACGGTTTCAGGTGGTAGATGCATGGTTTCAGGTGGGTAGATGCATGGTTTTCAGGTGGGTAGATGCATGGTTTCAGGTGGGTAGATGCATGGTTTCAGGTGGGTAGACACATGGTTTCAGATGTGTAGATGCATGGTTTTCAGGTGGGTAGATGCATGGTTTTCAGTGGGTAGATGCATGGTTTTCAGGTGGGTAGATGCATGGTTTCAGGTGGGTAGACGCATGGTTTCAGGTGGGTAAACGAACAGTTTCAGGTGGGTAGATGCACGGTTTCAGGTGGGTAAATGCATGGTTTCAGGTGGGTAGATGCATGGTTTCAGGTGGGTAGATGCATGGTTTCAGGTGGGTAGATGCATGGTTTTCAGGTGGGTAGATGCATGGTTTTCAGGTGGGTAGATGCACGGTTTACAGATGGGTAGATGCATGGTTTCAGGTGGGTAAACGAACGGTTTCAGGTGGGTAGATGCATGGTTTCAGGTGGGTAGATGCATGGTTTCAGGTGGGTAGATGCATGGTTTCAGGTGGGTAGATGCATGGTTTTCAGGTGGGTAGATGCACGGTTTTCAGGTTGGTAGATACATGGTTTCAGGGGCGTAGATGAATGGTTTTCAGGTTGGTAGATGCATGGTTTCAGGTGGATAGATGCATGGTTTCTGGTGGGTAGATGCATGGTTTTCAGGTGGGTAGATGTATGGTTTTCAGGTTGGTAGATACATGGTTTCAGGGGCGTAGATGAATGGTTTTCAGGTTGGTAGATGCATGGTTTCAGGTGGGTAGATGTACGGTTTCAGGTGGGTAGATGTACGGTTTCAGGTGGGTAGATGCATGGTTTCAGGTGGGTAGATGCATGGTTTCAGGTGGGTAGATGCATGGTTTTCAGGTGGGTAGATGCATGGTTTTCAGGTGGGTAGATGCACGGTTTTCAGATGGGTAGATGCATGGTTTCAGGTGGGTAGATGCATGGTTTCAGGTGGGTAGATGCATGGTTTCAGGTGGGTAGATGCATGGTTTCAGGTGGGTAGATGCACGGTTTTCAGGTTGGAAGATGCACGGTTTTCAGGTTGGTAGATACATGGTTTCAGGGGCGTAGATGAATGGTTTTCAGGTTGGTAGATGCATGGTTTCAGGTGGATAGATGCATGGTTTCTGGTGGGTAGATGCATGGTTTTCAGGTGGGTAGATGCACGGTTTTCAGGTTGGTAGATACATGGTTTCAGGGGCGTAGATGAATGGTTTTCAGGTGGGTAGATGCATGGTTTCAGGTGGGTAGATGTACGGTTTCAGGTGGTTTCAGGTGGGTAGATGCACGGTTTCAGGTGGGTGGACGCTTGGTTTCAGGGGCGTAGATGAATGGTTTTCAGGGGCGTAGATGAATGGTTTTCAGGTGGGTGTGTGCATTCAGGAGTTGAGTAATCACCCCCTTCACAACACATTACAATTTTGATGTCAAAACTAATTATAAATTATAACATGTGTTTGTCTCCTGTCTGCAATGATTCTAATAATGCCTTGTGGCTATTCACCATATATTAACAGAGCATGAAAAAGTCTACAAACATGAATACATTTGTATTTACATAATCAGGAAGTAGAGCAAAATATTTGACGTCTCAATCTTCCCCAAATTACTTTGTTGCGGCATTTGTGCTGATTAAATAAATTACCAAATTGCAGTTCATTGTCAAGGTCTAAGTTTGTATTGTGAGAATATTTCACAAATGCAAACTGGGTCATATTCGAGCGCGAAATAAATGATCCGGTAATACATGGTTTGAAGACCATTGGTGTTTTACTACTTACTATGACAGTCAAAAATATTGGGGAGGAAAAACCACCTAATGTGATATTATATTCAACAGGACTACGTAGGTGGCTATTCTGACCCCCCTCCCCTCCAACTGGAAATAGAATAGTCTGTCTGGCATACAGACAAAACACAAATGATCATCTGTCTGTTGTCATAGTGACTATGAGTAGGAGGAGAAGAAACCCATATTTGGTTGATTAATGAAACGGTATCATGAAGGGTGTGAATTGATGTTTTTTTTCTTGGACAAATTTACTATTTTACTGATTCACACGTAGCTGATATTTTCACTATAATGAATGCACATGGGAGTCCTTTTAAGTTGATTAACGTTCATATTAATAATAATGTCAAATCTGTTAGCAGTTTGATTTGAACTTAAGATTCAAACTATGATGCATGGTGTAAAGGTACAATACATGGGGAGTTATAGTTTTGTGTACAAAGACCTAGACTTGTGTACGATGCCATAGAAAGATGCATTTATGAATTGTTGACTGACCAGCAAAGCAACTAATACCTAATCATCAAAACAAAAATGCTATAAATCTAAATATATAATCATCAATTCTAAAATAAAAGTCTTTCATAAAAATCTTTGGATGAAAAGAAATTTTCAGAAAAATGTGTACGTTTTGAAAAAAATATTATTTAAAATATTTTACATGTGTTCTTGTATACCTGGCAAAGAGGGGCTTTCAATAATCCTGGACACAGGACCAGAGACACCCTCTGAAAGTCAAATGAAAAAAATAAACAAAAAACTTAAATTCACACAGTGTGAACAAAAGTAAATATATAAAAATACAAAATGTAATAATAGGCAAATTGAAAATGAATGTAAATTTAATTTCTTGTCATCACTCTAACAATTACTGGATAATTTATTTTGACTTAAAAACTTAATTCGATTTTTGGAAAAAAAACTTTTAAAATAAATTTAAAAACAATGAAAGAGTATAATCAATCACCTTGCTAATTAGTATTTCTATAAGACAATGAGAATAACTAATTCTAGAAATTTGTAGAACTCAATTTTTTTGAACTTATAATTCAAATTTGACTAAAATTGAATCAAAACACACCATGGGGAAAGGTGGAATGGTTGTTACAATTGAACCAATAAGACCAAGAATTTGAATATCATCGACAGCATTTGAGGTTCTTGAATTTCAGTCATTGGTACTTTGTAATCATATGAAAGTTTCATTACTCACAGAGAACAAAACACAGTTTTCAGTTTTATGGCAGTTCAGTTGCAAAACGAATGCGCCACTGTTGAGGGTCAATACTGGGTCACTTCTTTTTGCTATGTTTGCAGGGAGATACAAGAACCCACATTGTTTGACTTGTCACGATATAACACTTTCATACAAAGTACTGACATGTACAATACATATTCACAATCAAACACCTGTGTACTGGACCTGTCATGGAGTGTATTCATTATGGATCAGTACTACACTGGACTGCCATGGAGTGTCTCCATTATGTACCAGTACTACACTGGACTGGCATGGAGTGTCTCCATTATAGACCAGTACTACACTAGACTGACATGGAGTGTCTTCATTATAGACCAGTACTACACAGGACTGACATGGAGTGTCTCAATTATGTACCAGTACTACACTGGACTGACATGGAGTGTATCCAGTATGTACCAGTACTACACTGGTCTGACATGGAGTGTTTCCATTATAGACCAGTACTACACTGGACTGACACGGAGTGTCTCCATAATGTTTGCATGTGACGAGTGGGTAAATAAATGCATGGGAATGGCAAGGTTGCAGTGAACAATGTCTTCCACAATGCACTGCATTATTAGAGAACACATGTAACTGATTTGATCTGATCAAAGATGTAACAAAAAATACAATGCATTATGGGATTTGAATGACATGTAGCAAAGACTAATATTAAGTGCAACTGCTGTCTTATAATAAACAGTATGCAATCGATAGTGTTGCCATGCC